CTGAATCTTATCCAGCGAAAAGATTTTACTGGGCATGATATTCTTAATTTGATATGTTCCCTGAAGTACCTTAATACATTCAAAGGTTTTAACAATGAATATTATGCCCATATTTTTAATATGATTCTTACCTTGAGGCTGAATTTTAATGGGCCTTCAATTTTAAATTTTATCTTAGTCTTCAGCGTCAAGAAGCAATTACCTCTTCAAAACCCTAAGTCCTTCGATTTTTGCATACTATTTTCTTTCACTCCTTCTTAAAAACAGGGCAATTCTTTTCTGAACTCATGTCTCTTTTGAAATACCCTGATAAACAGAACATCAACCAACATAGGCTACTCACGTTGTTTTTCCAATCTCTTCCCCTCTATTGAAATTCATTAAGTACACGATGTGCCTCCCAAGTTATCTCAGACTATAGTTTTCAGCAAACGTTTTTCCTCTGAGTAACATGAATCATTGTCCCTCTAATCACCAATATCAATTTCCTTGCTACCCACTTGCTAGGCCAGTGCCTGGGATCTTAGTGTTTTGTTATTGTTCGATTTTTTTCCCCAAGGAAGCCCAAGCTTCTTTGTGTTATAGGCCAGCTTATGCTGCAGTGATGAAAAACACACAGTTCTCACTGACTTACAACAAAAGTCCTCATTCATGCAAAATTTGCTGTAGATATGGAAAACATGGCAAAGCATATATTAACCATGTATCAGCACAGCACACCAGACTGGTTGAGGCTTAAGCATCTTCATGTCAGTGCATGCTCTCTGAATCACCTCAGTAAGGGAAGAGAGAAAATAGAGAATCAAGCACTGGCTCTCATTCAACCTAGTAACGACCTACATCACTTCCACTCTCATTTGCCAATTCAAGCCTCATAAACACACCTGAAGTAAGTAACTGGTGTGCAGTAGTGCAATCTTCCCACACACTTAGAAGGAGAAGAGCACTAGAACCACTGGAAGGTAACATTTACATCTTCCCCTCTGCTATGAGTAGGATCTTCTCTGTCTTTGGTGTTCTGCAGTTTTGCTCAATATATTTCAAGTTTCTTTTTATTTTTCAAGTGTATTTTGTTCAACATCTTATAGCTATGAATTCAGTCATTGATTACTTCTGGACAGTTCTCAGCCATTATCTCTTCAAATGTTCTCAACTGTCTTATGGTATGTTTAGTGTGTTTAAACTCTGCAAATAAGTTCTATATATTGCAATTGGTTTACATGATTTTTAAGGCTCTTGAAGCTTTCCCCTCCATCTCCCTTTTTTCCCCCTTACAATGTAAACCAAGTCATTTGTCCCATTGGTCCTAGGAGACTGGATTTTGCTAACTGGATCCTTGTGAAGTCATTTAAAGTGTTCTTCTATTCTCTGCATTTCCTGTCAACTAGGAGTTAATCTGTAAATTGGTAGATGTAGAGACTTGTTTAGGTTCAGATTCTATTTGTTTATAAATGCTTTATGGGTAATGTTGTGTTCTTCAATCAGGAGACACATAATGTCTGATTGTCTCTTTTTTAGTGAAGTGAGCAGCCATGGACGGTCATTGCCTAGATTCATTAGTTCACCGGAGACTGAAAAAAAAGGTGATATTCCAAATCTATCAGTCCTTCTTCAATTACTGTGGAAAACTTCTTAACAAGAAACTTTCCCTCATCAATTATTTGGTTACCAGAGATTCAGTTTATACAGGAAAGAGAGGATGAATGCTTTATTAAGCTAACTAATAAAATTTACTTTTTATTTTTTCACTGAGACAGGATCTAGCTCTGTCACCCAGCTGTAGTACAGTGACACAATCATGGCTCCCTGCAGCCTCGACCTCTTAGGCTCAAATGATCCTCCTGCCTCTGCCTCCCAAAATGCTAAGAATGCAGGTGTGAGCCACCATGCCTGGCCCTAATTAGTAAGTTTCAAAAGTCACAGAGGCACTGTCCTGGCAGAATCTTTAACATGAAGCAACACTGTCAGTGGGCTACCCATTTGGGAACCACTGGAACAAATAAGGAGCCCTAGATACAAACACTGCTTACTCCAGCATCAGGCCTTAGCCCTTAGGCTGCAAGACCGAGGCTGTGGTGTTCCTGTTTACAAGCATGAAGCAGATCCTTATTTTCTCCATGAATGAGGAGCTTGGCTTCAGCAGGTCAGGTCTTACATCTCTGACATAGCTGGAAGCCAAGGGTACATCAATTTCCAAAAAAGCTTAGGAATATCCTCCCAGCCTGGTGAGCAAATAAAGCACTGTTTTTGTAATATTGGTTAGAATATAGAGTCAGCTGCTGTAAAATAAAATAAAACAACAAAAACAAACAAAAAACACCCCATACTGGATGCTCACACTCTATAATCCTAGCACTTTGGGAAGCCAAGGCAGGAGGGTCACTTAAGCCCAGGAGTTCAAGGCTGCAGTGAGCCATGATCATGCCACTGCACTCCAGCCTGGGTGACAGATCAAGAACTTGTCAAAAATAAATAAATATATAAAACAAGAAAATAGATACTGGCAACAATTAGCAGTCTCTGCTACACTTGCAGAGCTGTCACTAAGGATTGGTTACACCCTCTCATTTCCTAAAGCATATTCTGTGCAAGGCCTTCAGGAGTGATGTTTATAGGACAAGGGGTCCCCCTCTCCAACCTGGGCATTAACTGCAGGGCCCATGGATGAGAGTTCTTCCCAGACAAGAACTTATTCTAGGAAGCCCTACATCAAACATGACACTACACCTACAGCCTGTGGTAAATATCATTTTTACTGCAAAGTTTTGCAATTGTTTTTTATAATTTTGCTTTTTAAATTATTTGGCTAGGAGTAATTCATTTAATTTACACTGGACTCAGGTTTCTTGGCAATTGTCTTGTGTATATAGAATTTCTTATGAATTGAGAAATTATTACTCTAACTTACAAATTGTTTTCAGGTATAACAGTTTTTACGCAACTTTATGAAATTGTTATAGAATTAACAATTATAGATTTAACATGATATGTAGACATTTAATTATATATTTATGTATGGTTTACCAATTTTCATTTTATACTGTTTCAAGACTTTTCTTTTTTGAGACAGGGCCTCACTCTTTCAGTCAGGCTGGACTGCAGTGGCACGATCATGGCTCACTTCAGCCTCAACCCTCAGGCTCTAAGTGATCCTCCCACCTTAGCCTTCTGAAAAGCTGGGACTACAGATGTGCGCCACCACACCTGGCTAATTTTTTTTAAGAGACAGTGTCTTGCTATGTTGCCTAGGCTGGTCTCAAACTCCTAGGCTCAAGCGATCCTCCCACCTTGGTCTATGAAATTGCTAGGGTTACAGATGTGAGCCACAGTGCCTGGCCAGGACTTATCTTTATAGGCCTTTGAAAAGCTCCTAGACCCTGGATACTATGCCTCCACTGCCTAGTGGATAAAATAATCCACAGGCCAGGTGAAGAGGAAGAGGAGGTCAAATGCTGCCCTGCCTATGAGGGCAAGACTTGCTCCAGGGAGCTGGCCTAACTAGCAGCTTGACATGGAACCCTAGGAGTAGCAAGTAGAAGGGCTGTGTCCCTGGAACCTAGAGAAGGACTGGTACTAATACAATTAGTAAGGCAAGTCAGTGTGGTGGTATGAGCCTGTATCTCAGCTACTTGGGAGGCTGAGGCGGGAAGATCACAGAGTAGGCAGGGAAATGCTTCAGGTACTTAGGCCAGTCTGGAAAGGGGTGGGAGGTCAGAGAAAATTTTTCAGGTCTCATCTGAAGCATTAAAACTGACGATTATCCTTCCTTGAAACACAAACTTCCTTGGCTTCTCTGATACCACATCCGTCTGGTTTTCTTCCCACATCCTGGCTGCTGAGACAGAGAACATAAGAGGAAGAATCTGTTAAGGGGGTGCCTAGTGTGCCAGGCAGCACTGAGACATCCAAGGGAAGGTGTTCACAGACCACAGGATAGGTGAGTCTGGAGCTCAGAAAAGTGGATTCATGACTTTTATCTCCAGATGTCAGATTGTTGAGTTGCAAGTACCAGAAACCATTTCTGGCTGATGTAAGCAGGAAAATGAATGTATTATAAGAACTTTTTAGGCAGTTCACAGAATTGTCAAGAAGGCTAGAGAATTATACTCAGAGCTATGCAGCCAGGAACAATTCCTGAAATCATGTGCCAAATTGGTATGCTGAAGAAACTAGCAATACCATCGGGCTGCAGGTGCTTTACCTTGTACCACTGCTACTGCCGCCATGGAAATCCCACCTGCCTGCAGCCAACACTGTCACCAGAGAGCAGGCTCTAGGCATTTATTTATTTATTTATTTTTTGTAAATCACTACCACTAGGCCTGTACCTTGACTTCAACAGATGCTGGGAAATCAAGATTCTAGTATGTTTAGCTTCTGTAGGGAGGAGTGAGCTGTGTCTCCCAAGACTCCTGAGGTGGGAAATTCACCAAAAATAGGAAAGGGGTTCAGAATTTATGCAGCCTAAATGAATGACAAATCATTACAATGTCCTTGACCCAACAAAATGGCTAGAAACCAGAGCATGGAGAAAGCAGAGAGGACAGCTAAGGATAGGTAACTGGGGAGCATCACTATATAAAGGACATTCTTGAAGTGTAGAGCACTTGGAAGTTAGGCTTTCATATGATTCCTTTTCCCTAACTCCACCTCCACTTGTTGCCTGTGTTTTGAGAAAGAGGCTGTGTTCATGCAGTGAGAAACAGAGACATGGTGGCATGTGCCCGTAGTTTCAGCTACTCAGGAGGCTGAGGTGAGAGGAGCACTTGAGCCCAGGAGTTTGGGACCAGCCTGGGCAAAGAAAATTATCTCTAAAGAAAATGAAAAATAATAAAAATAAGAAGAATAAGAAGCAGAGAGCTGAGTTCTTCCCTAGAGAGAAAGGCTTCCCAGGCTATTCTTTCCCACCTTGAGTTCTTATGATGTAGTGAACTAGCAGCAAGAAGGCCATGCGACAGGTTCAATCATCTTCACTGAAAAACACTCCAGGACACAATTGGTAAAGAAAAGTGCTATTTTTTATTTGTTCTTGAATGTATAGGTCCTTAAAATCCGTGACATTTCCCTTTAAAATATCCTCCCTCATGCCCCAACTGCTTTGGATCTAATAGCCACTCCTAATAGGGGCCTAGGGGGAACTCATCCTACATATCTGAGAAAGGGATGCAGCTTGAGGAATGGGCATATGGCTCAGGAAGCAGCACCAGCTGGTAAGAAATTCCTCAAAGCAGCTCTGTTTGGCTTGTGAGTCCCCTTTTTCTGCCCTGCTCTGGACTCCTCCAGCGTGTCCCACCCCGGAACTCCCCTGTTCCTTATGTGGCCTGAGCTCTACAGTTAAAATCATAATGAACAATATCTTTACCACTGGAGAGCTGAGAGATCACTGTTCTCAGCCATTCTCTCACTGCAGCTTTATAGATGAGGAAACAGTACCCAAGGTCACACAGTTCATGATAAAAGCCACAAATTTAGATACTCAGACTCTCAAATCAGATGTCTTTCTAGTATATACCTCCTTACCTCCAAGAAAGCCACCAATAGCTGCCTCCAGCTCCAGAACCAACTGGAGCAAGCAGGTGGTGATGATCAGCACAAGTGGGAAAGACCCTGATATAGGAATCATGCTGACTCCAGCTGAGCCGCAGAAAAGCGGGAGCCACCACACTCCCCAGTCTCCCTCCATCCCAATGTCATCAGCAGCAGGCACCCACCCTGCCAGCTTCTCCTGATTAGCAGCACTGACATGCATGGAAACATGTCTTACCACAATCCCAGGCTTCTTCTCAACTGCAGCAGGCTCTAACTGGTGCAGGATCATCGTGAGGAGCTGCCTACCAGCCTAGTAATCCAGTTTAGCCAGACTGAAACCTGGATGCTATAAGACCTAATCCACACCCTTGGGCTGACTTAGATGGGGTCTCTTAGCAAACAAGGCTAAAATCTGTCTCTGTGTTGTCTCGGAGAGACAGAGAGAAGGACTCACAGATGCTGTCCTCCCAGAAGGAGCTCATAAACATGCTTGGCATGAGGAGAACTGAGTTCAGGAAAAAGAAGGGACTCAGGAAATAGAGACAGGGAAGCAGGAGCAGCTGTGATTCTTCCTGTCTACCCAACTTCTTAAAAGAGGAGACCCCAGACAGCCACAGACATGTACCCCTGTCTAGGTTTCAAGGACGGCTCAGCCTATGTGGCTAAGAGGTAAGAGGAGAGAATCCAGAGACTTGTGGTGTCATAAAGCTAAGGGAGGAGGCTGTTTCACTGAGGGTTGGTGGATGGTGTGAAATGCTGTGGAGAGGTCAAGACAGCTGAGCACAGAAAGGTATATTCTATTTGGCAACTGGGCAGTCACTGGTGACTTTTATGAAAAAGAATAGAGGGCTGAAGAACAGCTGAGGAAGAATCAATTTAAAAAGATTCTTGTTTAAAGTAACTTGACTAACAAGGAGAAGATGTAAGGGGTAACATTCTAAGAAATGCTGTTTTAATCTTGGCGAGAACCAGTTTGCAGACTGTGTGGAAATAACCAATGGAGAGAGAGGCTGGAGACTCCAGGAAGCGGGAGCAGTGGGCTAAGCAAGGGAGCAGTCTTGGAGGACATACAAGAGGATTCAAGACATAAGAACTAAATAGGAGCAGAAGGGGAGGGGAGGGGAGAGTTACAAACACAGATGAATGAGAGGGGAGAGAGGAACAGCAGGCAAGGACGCTCTTGCTTTAGGGGCTCTCTTCTGGGAAGTAGACAGTGAGCTCAGTTATTTGTGGAGGGCAAAGATGGAGGCATGGATGGGAAAAAAAAGAATCACAAATTAAAGAATTTCCAGTCAATACTGAGAGCCCAACTGAGGCTGCCGACTGTGAATTTGTCATGCTCAGCAGCCCAGGAGGTGGGAGCAGAAAATATGATGATGCCAAAAATGGAGAATGGCTGATAGTTTCAACAAAAATTGCCTGGCACGGTGGCTCATACCTGTAATCCCAGCACTTTGGGAGGCTGAGGAAGGCAGATTGCTTGAGCTCAGGAGTGTTGATACCAACTTGATCAACATGATGAAACTCCATCTCTACCTAAAGTAGAAAAATTAGCCAGGCATGGTGGCATGCACCTGTAGTCCCAGCTACTCAGGAGGCTAAAATAGGAGGATCACCTGAGCCCAGGAAGCAGAGGTTACAGGGAGCCAAGATCATGCCACTGCACTCCAGCCTGGGTGACAGAAACTCTGTCTTTAAAAAAAAAAAAAAAAAATAGGCCAGGTGTGGTGGCTTATGCCTGTAATCCCAGCACTTCGGGAGGCCAAGGTGGGCAGATCATGAGGTCAAGAGATCGAGACCATCCTGGCCAACTTGGTGAAACCCCATCTCTACTAAAAATACAAAAAAAAAAAACAATTGGCCAGGCAGGGTGGCACACGCCTATAGTCCCAGCTACTCGGGAGGCTGAGGCAGAAGAATCGCTTGAACCCAGGAGGCAGAGGTTGCAGTGAGCTGAGCTTGCGTCACTGCACTCCAGCCTGGAGACAGAGCAAGACTCTATCTCAAAAAAAAAAAAAAAAAAAGTTGAAGGAGTTAAGAAAGTTCAGAATGTTGATAAAAACATCAGTGTGTGATAGGCTCTGGGTTCAGGCTGGGGAGAGGAAGGAGTCCAGGAGAAAGCTGAAAGGCAAGGAGAGGAGAGAGAGGGCCAAGGTCATGGAAATGGACTAAAGGAGTGGACAATTTTGGCAGTACTGATGGAGGGAGAAGAGGAAGCCCAGGAGGTGGCAATCCAGGAGCAAAGGCTCTCAGTTCAGGAGGTCAGAAAGGAAGACTCTAAGTGACCCCATGGAGTGAGAGAGGGAGCAGAACAGAGCCCAGGAACAAAAAAGGAGGCGCCACGGTCTTAAGAGCCAGGCAAGGAGCTGTTGCTAGAAATGGGTAGAGGCAGAGAGCCAGAGTCTGCCAGGGTAGATGGCAGAACCTGCCATGGAACAGAGCCTATCGAGTATCTGGTGGCTGCCACTCAGGTAGGGGTACTAGAGGCAGGCAAGGTGTATAGTTAGCAATTGCTGGATGTCATGCAGGGCTAACCTACCCATGTTCTGTGGAAGAGTGCTCTGCAGTTCATCCTGAACCAATTTTTTTTTCCAAGACGGAGTCTCATTCTGTCGCCCAGGCTGGAATGCAGTGTCGCAATCTCGGCTCACTATAACATCCTCCTTCCAGGTTCGGGCAATTCTCCTGCCGCAGCCTCCTGAGTAGCTGGGATTACAGGTGCATACCATCACGCCTGGCTAATATTTGTATTTTTAGTAGAGACAGGGTTTCACTGTATTGGCCAGGCTGACCTCAAACTCCTGTCTTCAGGTGATCCACCCACCTCAGCCTCCCAAAGTGCTGGGATTACAGGCGTGAGCCACCATGCCCAGCCAAAAAATGAAATAAAAATTTAAAATCCTGAACCAATTTTTAACTAAAATCTCCTTTCCATTAACTGAAGCTACTTTACTGTCTTATTTCTCAACACACCAAAGAAGCCAATTTCTCTTATGGGACCGCATGCTGTCCCATAAGAATCTAGAACTCACCTTATTTCCATTGCATGATATTGTCAATAACTAAAGGACTTGGCTGACTTCAAAACTGGGCTATTATGGGAATAAGTCAAAAGCAGGATCAGCCCAAATGTTAGCAAAGAGCCAAGGTAGTCACTTGGCTGCAGGTAGTCACTTGGCTAGAAGGATTTTTTTTTTTAATTTCTAAGTTATGTTCTGGTTTTTGCATGCAAAAACAAAACAAAACCATGACTCAAAACACTGGTGGCTAGGTCCAAAGGAAAAGCCAGGGCGAGGGCAGTGCCAAGGGATAGCTAGTGTGGGGATGGTGTGATAGGCTTTGGCCTCAGCCCCACCCACCCAACCCTGATCAGGTGTCTAAAGGGAGCCTCTCTGCATGCAGGCTCTCCATGATGAGAAGGGAGCAGGTATCTCTCCAGCACATTACTAAGACCCCCTAGCCCAGCAAGCTGATCCTTGAGCCCAGCAGGTCACACCCAAGCTGGGAGCCTCACTGATATAAGGAAAGCCAGGCTTTTAACAGGCATTTCTGCTTTAAATTTGTGGTCTCCAGTTGGTCCTGAGGAAGGATCAGGTCTGAGCCTATCACAGCACTCACCAGCTGCCCAACGCCAAGTACAATAAAGCTCACAGGGATGATGGAAATGTGGGCCGCACAAAGCAAAGATGACCTAGAGCAGGAATCAGTGAAACGAGAACAGAGGGAACGTTGTCAAGCCAACCAAACAGAGAACAAGATTCAGACATTGAAAGGGAACTGGCGAGACCCCAAACCAGAAAGTCATGTGAGTCTCAAAGGGCAGAAACCTAAGTCCAAAGATTGCTGGATGGTAAAGCGCTGAAAACTTAGTTTCTGAACCAGAAAACGGGATCATGGGAGCCTATCTGCTTAGAAGAACATGGCACGTGCTGCTGAAAGAATGGCAAGCCAATGGGCATGGTTTGCTTTGAAGTGAAGATGATCTCTCAGCTTGGGTAGAGAAGGAAATGGGCAATACCATCAACTCACAAAGAGAGAAGAAATATTTTCTGATTTAAAAAAAAAAATGCTTTTGGGAGGCCGAGGCGGGTGGATCATGAGGTCAAGAGCTCGAGACCATCTTGGTCAACATGGTGAGACCCCGTCTCTACTAAAAATACAAAAAATTAGCTGGGCACGGTGGTGCATGCCTGTAATCCAAGCTATTCGGGAGGCTGAGGCAGGAGAATTGCCTGAACCCAGGAGGCGGAGGTTGCGGTGAGCTGAGATCGCGCCATTGCACTCCAGCCTGGGTCACAAGAGCGAAACTCCATCTCAAAAAAAAAAAAAAAAATGCTCATTAGCAAAGGCCCTACAAATTAAAACATCCTTGAAGTGTGTCTCTTAACAAAACCAAAGCCATGACCTAAGACTCCCCTGAAATTAGCCATTTGATGGAAGGACTAAGGAGAGCTCTCTCAGTCCTGGCCACTGAAATGTCAGGTTCAGAGCTGCCCCAACAGTATCAGCAATGAGTTCCTTCTCAACCAAGCCCTTGCTTGGGAGGTAGCCTGACCTCCAGTATCCTCACAAACACCTGGTGAGGACCATGCAAATCCATTCAGGATGCAACCTTGAGTTCCTGTTCCCATGGCTTCCAGAATGCTTCTCTCTGCATTCTAGGAGAACTAAGGCTCTGAAGTTGCTTCAGGGTCACCAAAGGACACTGGATTTTTGCCTCTTAATTTTTCCCGTCTACCTTAGACAAACTTCCCCTAGGAATGTCTAGATCTGACTCCTGTTGGTCCCTGAGGCCTTCTCTAACCTCCAACAAAAAGGGCTGCCAGTAAAGCTTTTTCAGGGTGGTAGACAGCCTGGGGGCAGGCTAGTCAGAAGAGTCACTTCTGATCTTTGGCTCATGAACTTGGAGAGGTTGAGAACTAGAATCTCTAAGCAGGAGGAGAGACCCAGAGGAGTGAGCTGGTTGTGGGTTATGCTCTCCACCCATGGAACTCTGTACCTGAAGCAGACAGCAGCTGCTTCACAGTATTCACAAGCCGAACTCAAGATCCAGACCTCTGAATAAGGATGATGAAGGGTGTGCCCACTGACAAGCACCAACAGTCACTTCTAGGAAGGCAGGTTCTCACACTAAAGAAGTGCGATTCGCCCAGAGTAAGGAGTACAGAGGGCGGGCTCGGAAGTGGACATCTTTTTAAGTGTGCAAATGAAATCTGAACCAGAAGATGTTAGTGTCTCTGCACAGCTGCCCAGCTCAATCAAGAATGTCACACCAGCCACAGCATTTTCACAGCAGCCACTTAAGTCAGCATCAGAAAAGTGAGTATGTAAAACAAATACCCTGAAAACCGTTAGAACCCAAATAGGCACCAGTTGAGACCTAAGGCCTCTAGAAGCCTCCACTAGTCTGCACACGGCAAATGTCTCTGTCCAGACAGGACAAGCAAACGCAAACAGTGACAGTCTTTGGCTGTGCTGAGCCAGGGACCACAGTCCTGCCATATGTCTAAACTTCTCTCCCTTCTTTTACTCACTTCTGAGCCCAGGAGGAGTTCAGATATACACATGGCTCCTGAACCCTGGACACTAAAAGGTGAGACAGGTCTGCTTTCCTAGGCAGAAAAAAAATTCACCAAGGAAGGTAGGTCCTCCCAAGCCTGACCAGGTGTGGTCTTGTCAAGTGGACCCTATACAGCCGATTACTCTGATAACAACCAATGCCTTCCTCTTTCCTGTTTATTACTGAAATCTTCTCTGTAGTGGACGCACTATGGTTCTCAAATAAATGCTGTAGATGCAAATGGCAAAGAAGAGCACTACACAGTTCAATGAGACTCATCTACCACCCCCATTCTGAAGAGGATAAGCTGCAAGATGGGAAGGAATGGTCGACAGGCTGGGACAACAGCTGCCAGCGTACGCAGTCTCCTTCTGGCTCTCACACCTGAGGGATGCTGTTGGCCAGACGAAATGACATTTTCTTTGCTCTTTCATTCTCCTGAAAGAAAAATACATATTAAAATAGCCAAATGTAGGCTATGTCAAGATTGCAGTGCTGCAGAGTCAAAGTATTTTATTTTACCACAGGAATGCTGCAATAAAGCCTTCTGAAGCCACTAAACATTGCTTGCTGAGTATGGTAAGCAACTGAGGGTGGCTGGTCAATCCCTGGCAGACAGGAGGCAGGCAAAACATTTCCATGGAATTAAACAGCCCTGAATGGACGTTTCTGGTCTATCCAGGTGGGACCAGCCCATAGATCAGAGGAGCTCTTTCTGCTGCAAGCAATATCTCTCGTTCCTTACCTACACCAAGGGACTAAGAAAGATCTCTTCCTTTCTCCCTCAAATCCAAGTAGAAACCAGGCACTGAGACCAGGTAATTCCCTTCTTAAGGGCATCACAATCACAGTATAGTGTAACCAGCACCAAATTGGCAATTAGGACAACTGGTTTCTCAGCCCTGGTCTGCTGCTAAATGCTGGGTTACCCTGGGCAGGTAGGTACCTTTCTGAATTTTAAGTCTTGTTAGTAACTGGCATTGATGAGCCCTGTACTGCCCTGCCTTCCTTACAAGCTAAGGGGCTGGAAGAGAGGATTCACTGTCATCACTGTCTTTTGTGCCACCTGAACAGCTTCACCTTAGGTTGCTGCTTGGGTGCCCTTCTGCTTGCCTGATCACCCACCCACCTGCTACCACTATGGCAGTAACTTTTTACCATATGTCGTCGCCGCCTCTTGGGTTGGATGCCCTCCTGCACGTAGGGAGGCCATGGGAAGCCCTGTGGAGTGGTGCGTCCACTCTCACTAGACACCTCTTCGGAGTCTGAGTCCTCCTGTCTTGGCTGGGCAAACCGTTTCTCTGGGTAGATCTCCTTCAACCAGCCCTCAAAGAATACTTCCAGGCAGCGGCCAGCTTCTGCAACCTCTGAGTCAGGCTGATGGAGGAGAGCAATGATAGTCTAGCCTGTGTCTACTAGTCCATCTCTTCCAGGTCCCTCAAGAGCTACACAGAGCACAAAGCCTGGCAGGGTCTCCTGAGGTGTCTGGAACTGGGCATTTTTTTTCCCCCTAGGACTCAGGATAACTAGTTTGGTAGTGGATCTTAAGGCAGAAGTGACCCCAACAGGCAGGCACAGATGGCTGGTCACTAGTACCTCCCCTTTTTCCTGAGTCCATGCTGAGGCCTGATATGGGAGAGAGCTTTTAAACACCCACCACAGCAGGCCCCTGGAATCTGCTCCCCCCATCCTCATGGCAGCCCAGACCAAACCTAACCTCTTACCCCACCCAACCATGACAGTCCTGGGGTTGCAGGGAAATAGGAGAGAGGGAAAAAGATAAGACATACATAATTAAACTTAGCACAGTTCCAGAACATAAGGTGCACATCCGATACCACCTCCTCTGGGGTGGTATAGTGAGCCGGGTCCTTCTTTTGCAGCTTCCTCCGGATGATTGACAGGTCCATGGGCCTCTTGATAATCTGGTAATAATGCCGGGCCTTGTGGGAGGAGACATGAGGAGAAGGAGGCCAATGGGGGTGAGAGAAGAAATGGAGATATGGATAAGAAGGAAGAAGAAATGGACAATCAGTTGAAATATACGTAAAAAGAATAGGAGGAGGAATGATGAGAAGCAGCAGGAAAAAAAGGATGGAGAAAGAAGACAAAGAGAAAGGGAAAAGGAGGAATGTGTCACTTGTCAAGTCAGATCTGATACAGCAGCAGTTGTGGTTGGGAAGGCTGGAATGGCCGTGACCCCACAGTCCCTTGGACTATCCACAAGCTACTACTGTCACTACTTCCAGTGGCCATGCTCTGAGCCCAGCCAGGGAACCCCTGTGCTCCTGCCCCCTGGTCTAGACCCTCTGAGCAGAAGAAACAGTAGCAGGCAGAAACAGCACAGCCTTCCTTACCAGGGGGCTGACAGGTTCATGGAAGGGCAGGCTGAGGTTATTGCAGCACAAGGACAATACCAGCTTCTCACACTTCTGCAAAATCAGAATTGGCAACAGAGTCACTTTGTTCTGCCCTCACCTCAGTATGAACCAAAGATGCTGACCCTGATAACTCCCTGGCTCTGTCTCACAGGGTACCAGCTGCCATACTAAGGCAAAGCTCCGGCTCCCAAGCCAGAGGAAAACAGCCGGGAGAAGGAAAAGCATCCAAACACCCCTGGCCCAAGCTATCAGGCACAGCACAAAGAAAGGTATCCAGAAAAGCCCCTCATCCCCTCTGAAGGCCTCAGACCCTGTAGGCAGAAGGGGGCTGCCAAGGGCAGGGAACCTTGTTTCCAAAGACCCCTCCCTACCTTCTGGTCATATGTGCTTAGACCAGGAGCTGCCCGAATTCCAGGCTGGTTATAGCGGGCGTTCTCACAGTCATACTCCATCTCGGGCTGGGTCAGGCTGCGGCACAAGGTACACACCCATTCTCCCCTGCAGGAGCAGGTGAGGCCATATTAGGCCTCCACACATTGCCCAGAACACCCTTCCTTCTCCCTCTGCCCTAGGGCAGGCACTGGGACAATGACATGGGAAACTGAGTCCCTGGCCTTGCCATGTAAGGAATGGCTTCCTAGCCACAGGCTTAGAAGAAATTCAGTAACTCAGAATTTAGTGAACCTAGAAAAATAGGGGTTGGGGAGGCTGGGGTAGGAGTATAGGCACAAAATCACATGCAAGAGGAAGGCGAGTAAAGAGGTGGAAGGGAAGTCAACCAAATGTCAAGCATCCACCTGTCTGTGTGCAGAAGACACCCAGGCCCATCAACTCCTAGACCTGTAATTCAGGCAGGCCCAGAAGAGGGGAGTAAGCCCATCCTGGGAGCTCTGTGGGCCTGGCCTGGAATAATCATCCCCGGAAGGTAACCCTACTAGCCAGGTGATGGTCCTGGCATGACTGGCATGACTCACCCTGGAAAGCTGAGCAAGGCTGGCACATGGCAGGACAGATGGAACACTTTGGGGCAGCGGTCACAGCACAGTAACTCTCCCCCATTGAGGCAAACAGCACAGAAGTCCTCATTCTCTATTGGGGCTGGGGGGCCCTTCTTGGCTCCTGGAGTTCGAGGAATGAGTCTGTGTTCTTCAGAAGTGCCCTCCACTTCTGGTGGCCGCTGCCCAGCCAGAGAAGTGACAGTGACCTTTCTTCCCCCAAGACCTGGGGCCTGGGTGGCCTCAGACAGTCTGTCCTGGCTGACCTTGGGGAAGAAGTAAGTCTAGGGAGGCAGAGCACAGCACCAACAAGCTCTTGGGGGAAGAGAGGGAGGGACTGGCAGGCCCTGTGCATCTAGGAGAGCCACTTATTCCAGGACCCCACACCAGCAAGCCCCATGAATGCTGGGACACCTCACTCCTAATATGCATCTCACAGGCCCTCTGAAGCAGGGAACGATGTCTGGCAAAGCTGCAGCCCCATCAGAGACTCAGGAAAGGTCCCAGAGCCAGAATTCTGGCAGTAGCAGAAAGAATAAGCTCTTAGGCTGGGCCAGGGTTTAAGGCCAAAGCAGAGGAAAGTGGTACCTTAATGGACATGCTGGAGGACTCAGTGCCACACTTGATGATCAGCAGGAAGCTCCCATCCTGATCATTCTTCTGTGGCTTCAGCTTGAACACAGGCATCTCTCCCGAGGATCCAGCACAGATCTTGAGTCGCTCTAGTCGCACATAGGGAATCTTAGGCTCGCTATTGAAGGCTCTGCAGCAAGACAGATATCCCGGGGTCTTGGGATCCTCCTCTGGCCCCTAACTCTAAGTCAGAAACAGCCATGATCCCTGTGATGGTTAATACTGAGTGTCAACTTGATTGAATTAAAGGATACAAAGTATTGATCCTGGGTGTGTCTGTAAGGGTGTTGCCCAAGAAGATTAACATTTGAATCAGTGAGCTGGGGAAGACAAACCCACCCTTAATTGGGTGGACACCATCTAATCAGCTGCCAGCAAATATAAAGCAGGCAGAAAAACATGAAAAGGATATAACTGGCCTGGCTTCCCAGCTACATCTTCCTCCTGTGCTGGACGCTTCCTGCCCTCAAACATTGGACTCAGTTCTTCAGTTTTGAGACTCGGACTAGCTTTCCTTGCTCCTCAAGCTTGCAGACAGCCTGTCGTGGGGACTTGTGATCATGTAAGTTAATATAAACTCCCCATCATATATATATATATATATATATATATATATATATATATATATGAATCTCCCACTAGTTCTGTTCCTCTAGAGAACCCTGACTAATACAATCCCCAACTGAATGGCTACTCTAGATCCTCTCAGACCTGGACTCTGAATGGGGACTCTACAGGTTCATATTCTGCCCTGCTGCCCAGCTCTGCATGGCCAGGCCCTGTCAGCCACTGGGAAGCCCTTTGGTATAGTCCTTCCTAGTCAAAGATGGGAGCTCCCTGACATGCAAGAACTGCACCCAGAGTGCATGCCTCATGGTACAGGAGCCAGGACATCCTCCCATGACCATCCCAGATGTTCACTTGAAGGTCAAGGGGTAGAAGAAGACAGTTGCTGACAAACTTCTTCCACTTGCATTTAAATCGTCAAGGTTGCTTCTTCCCTATACTAACATCTCAGGATGTGAAGTCATGGGTGGGAGGGGAGATTAACCAGGAGTCTGTTACCTGATGCTTTGGTTCTCTTTTGCATCCAGCTCTAGGGTTCCTTGTTCAAAATTCTCACACTCTAAGGCAAAACACAAACAAATACCTGTGACACACATTTGTGACAACAAACCCTGTCATGCACACCTTCTACTTATATCTGTTATTCATACCTTTGGCCACACACCTGTCATACAGTTGTTACCTAAACTATAGTCATTCATAGTAGTGACAAATCTACCATGGATCTCCTTCTTGAAAAGAGGAAAGTCACCTTCTTTTAAAAAAGATGAACATAAATAACACTCAGAGGCTGCCTACAGGTGAGTGTTGGGTCAGGTACTGATGGGCAGTTTCTCACCTTCAACATGAGCTCAGAAATCACCTGTTCTCAGTACACTGCTGTTGCCCACTCTAAGGAGTCCTTTTGTCTGGCTTCTGCCCTCTCAGCCAAGTGCTGGGATTCCAGCACTGCTTGAGAATCCAGCTCACACTCCATGGACAAGGGGTTCCCAGGGAGTCCTCCCCTGAGTATTCAGTCTATGGATATGGGCAGGAGGCAGTGGTGAGGCAAAAGGAGGAAACTAGCATCCAGTCAGCACCAGGCATGGTTCTGCTGTACATGGGCAAGCAGGATCTAAAAAGTTTAATTTTAATACATAAAATGCAGAGTTACATTATTGTGTGTAAGAACAACCAATAATTTTTCAGTTGGTCTTTCAGTCCATGTGAGGAAAGGGAGAAAAACTGTTTCTTTCATTTTCATTTATTACATGTATAGGAAAGAGACTGATCATTACAAATTAAACATGCATCATACATTGAACTGAAAAAGTCCCAAATGATCACTAGGGAGTCGCTTCTGACTTCCCAACTAGCCCTCACCTTCCACAGAAGAACAAACAGCCTAGCCTGGTTGGAGAAGGGGCATGGGAAGCTAAGAAGCAAATCAGAACCAATCTCCAAAGGTCCAAATTCCCTTCACTATGAGGCACAACACAAATCCACATTACTGTCAGGTACCAGGAAAATCCTTGCTACTCAGAGTAAGTTATCAAATTATTTTCACTATACTTACTTGTCCCAGTAGCCTATGAAGTAGGTGCAATTAGCCCCATTTAGAGAGAAAGAAATCAGTTAAAGGTTAAGTCTCTTATCTGGGATTAGAAGGAGAGAAAACTGGTTTCCTAACTTCCATCTGTCAGACTCCAAAGTCGGACATGCTCTTTTCCCTATAACATGTTGCCAAGGGTTGTCTGTTTCCCCCTATGAATAATGCAGATCCCAGGACTTTTTTGCATGGAGAGTGTTACAAACAGAGTAAGTGTTGGCCATGCCTAGATCAGCCATGGCCACAGTGAGGAAAGCAGAACAGGTGTCACTAAGACAGTTTCAGAGGAGAGAAGTAAATTCAGCCTCAGAGAGATGCACTGCTTCCCCAGCTTAGAGTTTGTCTGCTGGCTTCTATCTCACCTGGAAGTGCTGTGTCCATCTGCTCAAGTCTGTGGCCAACATGAAGGGCAGGCTGCTTGAGTCTCACCTTTTTGGTTCTGGTACTGCTGCAGAGCTGTAGATGTGCTGACCACTGGTGCCAGTGGAGGTTTCTTCACAGAGAGGTTAATTGGCTCCTCCAGTTCTGAGGGGATGGCCAAGTCCTTGCGAGCATCCAGACCAGGGGCTATGGGACTTTGTCCCAGTGAGTCAGTGAAGCGAGTGGAATCCTCCTCACTTTCCATCTTTCAAAAGTGAAATGTCAATAAGAATCAAAGAACTCAGACATGGTTGCCATTGGTGGTCAAAGGACTGTTAAGCTAAGGTTAGAACAAGGGTCTTAGTGGCCAACCTTTTGCCCATTGTTGAGCAAAGGAAGTTTGAATGCCATCTTCCCAGGACTTACCTTACACAGAGCATTCCCCAGGGAGGGATCAGCCCCATCTCTAGGGCACAGGCTCCCTGAAGTTGGGCCAGAACTGGAGCTGGACCCGGTTTCTGGCTGCATGTCAGACACTGAAGGGATGCTCTGAAGAGGACAAGTTGCCAGACTTGGCACAGCCTGGGTGTGACCAGACACTAGGCTGGGCCCAGCCTGAGAGTGATCACTTGCCAGGCTTGCCATAACCTGGGGGGAGTCACTCAGCAAGTTGGGCATGGACTGGAATGTGCTACGCACGAGGCTGGGCACAGTCTGTAGGTGACTAGTTGTCAGGCTGGGCATGGCCTGGTTTTGAACACTTGTCAGGCTGGACACTGTTTTGGGGGGAGCACTCAGCAGGCTTGGTACTGCTTGGGAAGCACCAGCTGTCAGGCTGCTCACACTCTGGATCTGTGGCTCTAGGGTCCTCTCCAACCTAGCAGATGACAATTCCATCTCCAAAGTGTTGGAAAACCCCATGATGCTCACTGAGGTGGAGTGCTGGGGGAACAGAGACAAGGGTAGAGTCAGGCTGCTAGCTGGGAATGGAGGGAGGGAGAGGGAGACCCAACCCACAGGAGCTCCCATACTCCAATTCCACTCTGGCTTCAAAGTCTGGTAGCTGGCAGGAACTTAGGCAATGCATGAAGCCCTGTTCCTCTTCCCAACACTGAGGAGGCTACTAAGCTATGACACAGAGAGACAGGCACAGACAGAGGACAGTGAGTGTGTGTGTGTGTGTGTGTGTGTGTGTGACAGCAAGAGTGAGAAAGAGAATTTACTGCCTGACCTGAGGCATGTATACACAGAGAGAGAGAGAGAGAGAGAGAGAGAGAGAGAGAGAGAGAGAGAGAGAGAGAGAGAGAGAGAGAAAGAGAGAGAGAGAGAGAATCAGCCACATCCCTCACCTCAGTCCTGTATCTAAGCAAAGGGTCAGGCTGTGGGACTGTCCTCTAATTTCAAACTCCCCTCTGACTATACCACCAGTGGCTTCTCTTCCCTTCAAGGGGTGCTATAGAATAGTTTCTGCTATACAAAAGTACCAGGGGGTTGAGAAGGCTCAAACTCTTATCTGCCTCAAACTTGCCTTGAGAGAATGCCATCAGAACGTTCCAATCAGTCCTGGGGAACCTGGGTCAACTCCAGGGCCTTCTTATGAGCTTGTTCAAATCAACTCCAAGCACTACCAGCATTTGATGTAGGCTTTAACCAAGATATCTGAAGGTCTTTTCTGTCCCTAGTATACCTGCCAAAGATATTCCAAACCAAAGGCAGAGAACTTCAAAGCAGCTAAATCTTAATATCGCCTAGTCTGTACAATCATTGGATAAGGCAGTAATGTTCTGACTCCGAAATTATTTTCTTATATCTAACTACCTTGTGACCTAAGGAGGAGATGTAAGAGGCTGATAAAAGAAGTTGAACACATAGATTTATGTACTGAATCCACTCTGCTTTTCAGATTGAAGAGGCAGATTTAGGAAAAGGGAGGGAGACTGGCTCTAAATGTATAAAGAATGTATAAATGTATCAGGAATGTGTAAGTTTCATATTCCTGCCCTTTAAAAAAAAGACTAAATATCCAACAATTTGACATCTTTTGAAAAACCAAGGGATAAAGGGATAACAGGATTAGACATATCTATCTAAGTTTCCAAAATCAGTATCTTGAACCTGTCATTTCTTTCCCCATTCAAATTTTCACAGGAAAATAAATACTTCAAATACCTTCTCAAGTTTCAATATAAAGTCAGTAAAGCCATTTTGCCATGAGGACTGTCCTCATCTCAGTGAAAGTCACTCTGAGTCATCCAGTTCTGCAAGTCAGATCCTATGAGGGAGGCATCAGTGAAGCATCCCTCCTGCCACACCCAAACTAATACCCAGCCCCATCAATTCTACCCCTTACACAACTCTCAGATATACCCACTAATTCTTCCCTTTATTGATGGTGCTCTAGCCTAACCTACTTTCACATCTCCCTGGACAATAGTAGTAGCCTCCTCAATGGAGAAATATTTTCAAAACATGGACTGATCACATCATTTCTTTTCATAAAACCCCGCAGTGCACTCCGTTCTTCTTAGAATAACTGCAAAAATCCTTAACAAGATTCCCGAGGCCCTGATGACCTGTCCTCTGTCCTTCTGTCCTCCTTTGTAGCCATAGCTCATTCATAACCCTCTCCTCATTCTCTGAACTCCAACCATTTTTTTCAGTTCCTGCAACATACCAAGCTCTCCTTCCATCCACTACCCTCACCCCTTCAGATGGACTGCTTTGTCTGCATAGAGGATGCCCTATTCCTGCCCTGTGCCACTTATCCTTCAGAACCCAGCTCAACAGACATTTTTTGCCACAAAGCCTTCTTTCATTCTCTAGTCCAGACCAGGTTCCTGCTTTCATCCTCTCATACGCCTTATACTTGTACTTTCAGCCTCATACCACAATCCATGATATCATTTGATTAATGTCTGTTTCCCCTACTAAATTGTAAACTCCATTAGAGTATGGATTTTTATCTATTTTGCATACCCACTGTATTCCTAGACCCAAGAGCAGTGTCTGGATGAATAAATGAATTAGTGAGCTATTTGAAATTTTGAAACAACACTAATACAGGACTGTTTATTCTACAAATCTTTAGCTAAATGAACAGCAGCTTACTTAGGTCTACTGACAACTTTGGCTATGCGTCTCTCTAAAATAATGCTTTATTTATACAGCTAAAGTTTATTGAGAATTTATTATATGCAAGGCAATGTGCTAAATGTTTTACATATATTACTTTATTTAATCTTCACAACAACCATTAAAGGGTTGTTAGAACGTTAAAAGAAAAAGTCCATGTGAACATTTAGAACAATATCTGGCATACTATAGATGCTCAATAAACCCCAGTTGTTTCTACTGCTGCTGCTATTGTTTTTATTGCATTATTGTTGCTGCATACCTACGTTCACGCTTGATGAGGCTCAGGAGGGCATCTTAAGTTTTTTCTTGTTATTGTAAAACACAATTTTGTAGATTTCCATTTTTATTTATTGTGTGTGTATTGTATATAGAAATACAATTAATTTTTGAATATCGACTTTGTATAGTCCTTGCTAAAGTCATTCTGAGATTTTTCTTTTCTTTTTTTTTTTTTTTTTTTTTTTTTTTTTGAGATAGGGTCTCACTCTGTTGCCCAGGCTGGAATGCAGTGGCACTATCTCTGCTCACTACAACCTCCACCTCCTGGGTTCAGGTGATTCTTCTGCCTCAGCCTCCTGAGTAGCTGGTACTACAGGTGCACGCCACCACACCCGGCTAATTTTTTTTGTATTTTTAGTAGATATGGGGTTTCACCATCTTGGCCAGGCTGGTCTCAAACTCCTGACCTGGTGATCCACCCACCTCAGCCTCCCAAAGTGCTGAGATTACAGGCATGAGCCACCACACCCAACCCATTCTGGGATTTTCTTTTGGATTTTCTGTGCACACAAATCATGTCCATCCATGTATAGTAAGTTTTTGTTTTGTTTTTCCAGACAGGGTCTTGCTGTCACCCTGGCTGCAGTGCAGTAGCACAACCATAGCTCACTGCAGCCTTGACCTCCCAAGCTCAAGCAAGCAATCCTCCCACCTCAGCCTTTGGAGTAGCTGGGAATACAGGTGCATATCCCCACACCTGGCTAATTTTTTATATTTTGTAGAGACAGGATCTTGTTATGTTGCCCAGGCTGGTCTTGAACTCCTGGGCTCAAGCCATCCTCCCACCTTAGCTTCCCAAAGTGCTGGGATTACAGGCATGAACCACCATGCCCATCCTGAATGGTAAATCTACTTTCTTTTTAAATTTACATTTGTTTTTCTTGCCTTACTCCACCAGCTAAGACTTCCAGTACAAGGTTGACTGGAAGTAGTGATAGTAGCCATCCTAGTCTCATTTCTGATCTCAGAAGATCCTTGCAACACTTCATCACTAAGTAGATTTGATATAGGTTTTTTGTAGATTTAGAAGCCATATCGTGGTCAGGCATGGTGGCTCACACCTGTAATCCCAGCCCTATGGGAGGCTGAGGCAGGCAGATAGCTTGAGCCCAAGAGTTCAAGACCAGCCTAGGCAACATGGTGAAACTCTGTCTCCACAAATAATAGAAAAATTATCCAGGCATGGTGGCATGGGCCTGTGGTCCCAGGTTCTCAGGAGGCTAAGGTGGGAGGATTGCTTGAGCCCAGGAGGTTGAGCCAACAGTGAGCCAAGACTGTGCCACAACATTTCAGTGTGGAAAAAAGAGCAAGACTCTGTCTCAAAAAAAAAAAGAATCCAAATCTTTGGTACCAAAGCTACAACTTAATTTTGACTTGTCCCCCTCTATACCTCTCTGGGCTTACTCCTCTTCACTATCTCTCACTTTCTTTTCTATTTCTTTTCCTTCCCTCTCTTCTGCTCTCTCCCCCTCTCTCTCATGAGCTCTTTCTCTCTCTTCCACTCCTGCTTTCTTTTTATCATTTCTTTCTCCTCTTTCCCCACCTCTTTCCCTTATTATTTAACTGCTTTAGTAAGGCTTATATTTTCTATTTGAATTTTAAACACAGATGAGTTAAATAACTTTTGGTCCTCTCTCCAAAGAAAACTATGCTTTTTATATTTTCCCTAGTAGTTTAATAGCGTCCAATTTTTTTAAAAGCTTCAATTTCCTCTATAGTCTAAGGGCCAAGAAAAGAAAGCCTGAAGAGAAGCAAGGTGGAAAGAATATTCAAACCAAATTGGGTAAACTAGGAATGGAGCCCAGCTTAAGGGACCAAGGCCAAAAAGAAAATGGCTACCTCAAACATGCCCAGGCCTGCATCCCTTAACGTCTCCTTGTTGTCCTGTTTATGCACTACCATAGGGTTATAATATTCTATATTTCCTTATCTATAAATGAGAATACCCAGTGACTATTTCATTCCATTTCCAATATATGACAAACTAATCCTTTGCAATAGATTATTTCCCCTTTCCCCTATTTGACATGTATATTTAGTGCAGTTCTGGTATTCATTTCATCCACCCATGCTGGGCATTGAGAATTACATAGATGTCTCTTTTTAGTGAGATCCTTGCTACCAAGCAGTAAGAGGACTAAAATCTACATGAGACTACCTAAATAATAATGGTCAGATGCCATATGTCACAAGATATACACAAAATAAAATCCTCAAGGACAAAACTTTCCAGATTAGGGGTAGAGATCACATTTGTAGGATATCATCTCTCCTGTCCTAATTACTTATTGCATATGTGAGTTAACATAATGATAGGGGAGAGGAAAACAGGCAGACTGAGCTGTGGAAAAATTGCAGAAACTCCATCGCAGTTTATTTTGAGGTGAACCTGATGAACCTAGTCCCATAATGCCTAGAAGATAATATGGGTCAGCAATACATCCCAAGATATTGCAAACTTGACTGATTTCTTTCCTTTCCACAATCACAGCCAATCTCAAGGAGGCCAATGCTATTAGGAGGAGGGG